GTGTGTGTGTGTGTGAAGCTTTTAAATATTAGAGAGATGACAATCACTATTGCCCAGTTCCTCTCACCATATACTGAAACAGCGTTTTACAAATAACCTCCTCCAGGAAAACACAGTTAACTCACAAGTCTATTTGTTTTGGTGCGTCACCGTGCCTGCAACACTCTCCAGTGTCCCTGGTTTTTGCCTTAAGTTGTTTTTTTGGAGAACAAGCTGTAGCTTTTTTCTCAGTCATCACCAATGTGGAGTACTTTACCGTTACCCTTGACAGCTTCAAAACTGTGACATTACCCTCAGAGCTGTGTGTCTGCTCCCCTTTTCGCACATCTTCTCAGAGAGAGCCTGTCATCAGTCAAATGCTAAAAGAGATGACAATTAGTAAGAGAGGGGGCTGAAAGAGTGAGAAGTTTCTAAATACAGCCATACTGGCTCAGCCCTAGCTTTATCACTAATGATTCATCAGTGCAGGAACCCTCCCTCTCTCTGTCTTTCTCTCTCTTTTTTTTCCCTTTCTCTCTCTACGCTCTTATTCTTTCTCCCTGGCAGCCTCTGATTTCAGACTTCTGAGGGTGATTTGCAATAGCCTGTGTGTGATCATCACCAGCCTATTGTGTTTTGCTGAGGACGTCAACTAATGGAGCTCAAAGAATCCTTTTAAGGGGCCTCTCAGTCTGTGTCAGCAACAGGTACTGTACTGGTTCCTGCATAATGTAAGGCCGTGGCGATGCAAGCTTCGAGAACAGTAGATCACACAGTTCACACATCTAGACTGTAAACCTCGTTATGTAACCGCACCATAATCACAGGTGGCTGCTCACATATCCATGTCTCTGTCTAAATGAGAGGGTTTTGCCTCCCAGGGAGATCGCTGAGTGGGATCACTCGTGCTTCCATGGCTACAGGTGTAATACACTTTCAATATTATCAGACCAAAAAGATCTGAAACGAAGCAAAAGAGAGATGAAGCGTGAGCAGAGTCAACAAAAGCTTCAGCTTTGGCTATGGAAAAATGAGTCTTCTTTTTTTCAAAGCCTGAAGGTTATTCCATCACCAGGGTGCAAAATGAGTGAGCCTGCTCCACCATGTTCATAAGAGAAACCATGTAGAACAGCAAAAATCATAGCAGTTAGCAGATAACAAAGGCATATGTCCAGTGTAAAAATATACTAATACTGTTGTGTCCTGACACTCATAAAGTACACACTCATGTGTACTGGACAATGATGATTTAAAATGATACAATGATATAAAACATAAAGAACTGTGATACCCAGTGTCTAGAAAATGAAATGTGCAAGAGCCAGCATGTGCGTAAATAATGCCACCTTATACAAGAACATAAACAAATGTAGCCTATACAAGCGTTTCTCTGACTGCTAATTTAAAAAGGCCCTATTTTAATAATAAAAAATTCCAGTTTAGCTTAAAGGAAAATTTAATCCACCCACATACCAAAGTATTTGTAAGGTGATTTTTCTCATTTCTGTTATAGGATATGAATACCAGTAGAATATTGACTCGTCGACATAAAGGTGCACTTTAGCTGTAAACTTATTCTTACAATTATTGTCTATAAAAATAAGAAATAAAAGAGGACCTAAAATTAAACCTTGTGGGACTTCTTTTGAAATTCACCAGGAAATGTAATCTTAATTTTGGTGACCCGAGTAGTAGAAAATATAGTTGTAGTGTAACTGAAATGTGATTACGATAACCTGAGTAAATGAAAAATGCCATTTTTAAATGATGATTTCATTTATTACAAGGAAAAAAGCTACATAAACCCATCAGGCCCTATCTGAAAAAGTGATTGGCGACTACATTCAATAACTGATCATCCACCCCTTAAGTGAGTTAATCTAATGAGTCTTTAAAATGACTATGGAGGAATTTTAAACTCTTCTTTGCAGAGTTGTCATGTTGGAGGATTTTCCAGTATGAACAGCTTGTTTAAGGTCATGCCGATGCAGCTCAATAGGAAGTCCAGACTAGGCCACTCAAAAACCTTGTTTTTATTTGTCTTTGCTGATCTGAAACATAGGTGTGAGAATCATTAAAAAACAGGAAAAAGGTAAACATTTTCATGACTTATATGACGTCATCTAATGCACTTCTACATGTAAGTCATGCATGCATAAGCAAATAATAAGAGTGAGGGTCCCCCTTATAAAAACAGTCTAACTCCACTGTGCCACTGATTTCCGGTAAAACCTGGAAGCGAGAGGTTGTTAATTATTAAAACAATGGCTAAGCACAGAAAGTGAAGACTTCGTGGTAACGTGGTCCCTCTAGTTTTTCCAGGCGTGTGCAGCACTGTGTAATTTGCATTAATCAGACAGGCCCTAAGAATAAACTTTTCACAATCATTCTGGTGATAGTGATTGTGGCATTTTCATTTTTTTTCCAATGACACTTGCCCAGGGCAGACACCGCACAGGAGCTCTGTTGAATTATTGCTGCTGACAGCTCAATCTCTCTCCATCATAATCAAGGAATATCATCAAAAGGGTTTTGACGCACAAAGATGAATATATAGGAATGTGTTATTGATGTAAAATGCATGGATTTAATGAAATCAATTCTATTTTTGTCTGATTTACTTTAAAAAAAATTTAAGGCTTTATTTATGCATTTTTACAAAATATTAAAGTCCTGCATTCTGTCACACTTACTGCATGTTATTAAAAATCGTAAACAAATTCAACCTTGCTATGCCTCTTTACCCCTTATCTTAACAAATTTTTCCATCGTTAATGCTTCTTTATACAGCTCTGAACTCTCCCCTTCCTTCTCTTCCTTCTTCCACAGCTTTGTCACTAAGCAGCCCAATTACATTATTCTCTGAGACTCCTGTCTGTTGCAGCTATTTCAGGCTTTGGAGCCATTCCTGTTCATTTCATTTTTGCAACTTCGTTTCTTGTCAGCAGGGATTAAGAATGTGATATTACTGTACTCACACTGGCTGCAGTAGTTGTGAAAAGTCCTTCTTGTTCTTGGGCCCAGCTGGTTGGTGATGGTGCATACTTGTTGGGGGTTGATTCACTCTTGGACAGTGTGGAAATAACGTCTTACATTTACACGTAAGGATTTTGAAGCCGTTCTTTCATTTTTGGGGCGATTGTTGCAGAACATAATTGGTGCTTTTACGTAGATCATCATTTCTGGTGTCCACTTACAGGTAGGGATTTTTTTTCGAGAAGTAAAATGCTATTTATACATATAGACTCACATCTGCCACTTTACACCCTGCTATTACAATGATGGACCCCATTTTGCCCTGAGAACTGCCCTGATTCTTCATGGTATAAATTTAAGGTGCTGGAAACATTTCTCAGAGTATCTGGTCTATATGTGCTTTATGGGATTGAGATTTAGTGACTCTGGAGAGCATGTGAGTACATTTAACACTGTCTTATTCAAGCAGGCAGTGTGAGATGATTTGAGCTTTGTAACATGGTGTGTTATCCAGCAGGTAGCAGGAGATAGTACACTGTGGTCATTAAGGCACGGACATGATCAGCAACACTACTCAAATAGGATGTGGTGTTTAAATGACACTTAGCTCATACTAAGAGCCCCAAATTTGGCCAAAAAAAAAATATCCCCCACATCATTTCACCACTACAACCACCAACCTGATTGTTGATACAAGGCAGGATGAAACCAAGTGTTTATGATGTTTACACAAAATTCTGACCCTCACATCCAGATTCATCAGACCAGGAAACACTTTTTTTTTGGATGGATTTTGGTGAGCACATGCAAGCTGTAGGCTCAACTTACTCATTTTCGCTGACAGGAGTGGTCCTTGGTGTGATCTTACTGCTGTAGCCTCTGCATCTGCTTCAGGGTTTGAATAAGTTGTACATTCAGAGATGCTCTTCTGTATACCTTGGTTGTAACCAATT